TATTTTATGAATACTTCGCCTGATTATTTAAAAGAGAATCGACTAGGAAAACAACAAAACCCCATACACAGGCGATATACCTACTAAAAAAACATGAGAATCACGGCGACGTAAAAACCTAAGATAATATCTGATCGTACACTAGAAAAATGTGGACGGTTGATTTTGAAGCATTTTAAGGAAATTGAGAGTTACGTTTACACTTATCACACCAAAACAAGCTTATAATTAAGATACAATTAATCAAATCTCTGTTCATTCGATTACATCATTAAAGGATAGAAGGGATTATACAGTTTAGTGATTAAGATACTATTATGTGATATAGTTTATTGATTTAAGAACACAAAAATTGGTATGAAGCGCTTACGTGAATATAATACAGACACAAAGAAAATGAGATTGTCAAGACACGGGAGAAACGAGAGTAGGTATAAAAAAGAAAACACGAAATTAATGAATGAGTAAAAATTAACAAAAGCAGTTCCGTTAAGGAACATACATGCTTAGGTCAAAGAAGTCGATGATACTAAGTGAATTATCGTCACTGTGTCCGAACACGTTGCTATACATCCCCGTTACCAAGATGGTTCTGTCACTGAATATGAGCAATCCTTTCTAGACAATGATGATCAAACACAGACAGTAGCTTAATATCCTCATGATACGAATGCAAGTCACCACGTCAGATTGATATGCTAGAAATATTAAGAGTTTACTTAGTCAGTAAACGAGAGCGAGGACCCAACGACACGATAGGCTACTCTAATCCAAGTGTCACAAACCCAATTAAATAGAAGAAGAAAACTTGATACGAAGTAGGACATGTATTCCACAAGCATCCACAAAGTACGAGGTCCGAGTCCATGAGAGGCTAAGTATCCGGGTCCAGGTTATAAAACGTTACATATAATGCGTATTTATACAGTTAGGTCGGTAGCTGCTACCTTGACGTGGTGGTCGGGCTTGCCTATCACGATGACGGAACCGAGCTATACTGGCTGGAACATATATTCCTAAAGGTTCTACCATGCGGGGAGGGTCGATTGGAGAACGATGAGACTAAAAGCAGCTACTCAAGGTCTGAGGGCGTAGTCGTACTGCTGACTCCCAGGTCTCCAAGACCAACATTAATCTACCTTCCTTTTCAGGTTCTTCAAAAAACTACCTTCCTCAATGTGGGCAACCGGGAAGTGACAACCGCCCTCATACCCGTAACAGCACGCGAGACCAAATTGGTCAAAATCAAATCCTTTCCCACACCCCCTATTATTTCTCTTATCTACTCACATTCCTTTATCTCCCCGCAGCTCTGCTGAAAACGATTCGAGTTGCAGCATTTCATGTACGGACATTACGTCAAATAGGACGACAGGCTTCGTTAGCTAGGACATTAGAATCTCGCTCAATCGATGTATTCTGCGTCTCGGAAACGCGCATACAGGATCCTAATAAAGTCATTAATCTGATTTCGCCTTGTTAAAACAAAGAAGCAGAGCGATTTACTCTTCGTGTATCCGGTAGCCCTGATGCTGCTTCCCGAGGTCTCACTGGTGTAGGTATGGCATTGAGCCGTAGGTCAGAACTGGCGCTCCTAGACTGGATCCTTGTAGATAGTCGTTTGTGCGCCGTCCGACTGAACAGGACAGTAAGGACTCGGAAAGATAGGGACACTCGCCGTTGCCTCTTCGTCGTATCTACCTATGCCCCCACTGACTGCAGTTCAAACGATGTAAATGACGAGTTTTACAGAAAGCTTTCGGACCTCCTCCAAAAAGCTAGGTGCTCTAATATAGTAATAATGGCTGGTGACTTTAATGCTCAAGTAGGTAGACTTAGTGAAAATGAAAGTCACCTGGGTGGATGTTATGGTGTCGCAGCTCAGAGAACAGACAATGGCGACCGACTGTTGCAAGTACGCTCAGATAACCGCCTTTTCCTAGCAAACACTAATTTTAGGCATAAGGGAAAGCATCTTTTGACCTCGCGACCCATAGAGGCGTCTCAACGTAGGACACAACTAGATCACATTGCCATCAGTCACCGATGGAGGGGTTCGATAGAAGACTGTCGCTCGTTCTGGGGCACATACATAGATTCCGATCATGCTCTAATGCGATCGCGTATTTGGTTGAGGCTAACTGGACGCCAGAAAATTATATCAAGAAGACCTCTTAGGACTTTGCTTAATGGCAATCAAGCTAAGAAAATATTTCAGGAGGAACTAGAAAAACCGTTAAGCGACCATCCAAACAAGGTTGGAATGATATTAAAATGGCTGTGGAAACAGCAGTGATATCTGCTAGTAAGGTAAACCAAAAGCCTAGGATGAAGCCGTGGATTTCAGTCGCATCCACCGAACTGATGGATGCTCGGAAACTCATCCCTCCTGGCTCTGAACATGATGAAGAACGAAGTCAGCCTAGGCGCAGGCTGATAAAAAGTCTGTGACGACCGCGAACAGTGGTGGGTGGCGAAAGCAAAAGCGATGGAAAAGGCAGCGGCGATAGGCAACACTAGACAACTTTTCCGACTTATCAAAGAAACCGGTATTAGGAACCCGAATGTGAGTGAGACTATCTCAGAAAAAGATGGCTGTATCATTTATTCTCAATCGAGGAGATTGGCAAAACACTTCAGGGACCAGTTCAACCGGTCATCAGCCACACTATGATTGCCCACGATCCTCAGTCATCCTGAATAGCAAATCGATTTAGGTCCTCCTAGTCTAAATGAAGTTGAGAAAGCTATAGGAAATCTATGGAGAGGGAAAAGCAGCAGGTCCTGATAGACTGACCCCTGAGTTTTTCAAGGATGGTGGTCCAGTTTTAACAGTTAAATCGACCGAGATCGTAGAGAGAATCTGGGAACTGGACGTAATCCCATCCGACTGATCTCAATCACTGATTAGCCCAATTCATAAGAAAGGACAAAAGTCTTCTGGTGACAATCATAAGGGGAATATGTCTAACTAACGTAGTTTCTAAACTGTTAGCCTCCATTATACTTAGACATCAAACTAGAGCTCGTAAAGAGAAGACTAGAGAAAAACTAGGTTGGTTTTCGACCTGGACGTGGCTGTATAGACGTCATATTCACACTACGACAGGTCCTGGAACACAGACACACATTTAGACGTCCGACAATAGTCGTGTTCCTGGACCTAAAAGCGGCATTTGACTCAGTGAATCGTGAGGTTCTGTGGCAGTGTCTGTCATTGAAAGGTGTACCAGAGAAGTACATTACCTCATACAAACTCTCTACTGGAACACCACTGGTCGAGTGAGAGCTTTATAGCGAACTGTCATCTGAATTCTCTACACCAGTGGTGTCCGTCAGGATGCCACTGTCCCCATTTTGTTCTCCCATGAGTGGTGTCCGGCAGGGATGTCCCACTGTCCCCTTCTGTTTAGCTTCGTCGTAGACATCCTCTTAGAGTTAACATTAAGCTCGTCAGATTTTTCAGGGGTGGACCTTCTGCCAGGAAAATGGCTTACTGATCTAGAGTATGCCGATGACATAGTTCTATTCGGTGAAGACGCTGACAAAATGCAGAGTCTTCTGACTACCGTAAGCAACAATCAAAGCATGTTCGGGATGCTGTTTCCCCCTCGAAATGCAAAATGTTGCTTCAAGACTGGGTTGCATCGGCACCTGAACTAGTGATCGGGAGTGAAGTAGTGGAGCGTGTTGACCGCTTCACTTATCTCGGAAGTCTCATCAGCGCTGATAGCCTGGTGACTGACGAAATCTCAGCGCGGATACAGAAAGCTCGATTTGCTTTTGCCGATTTACGCCGTTTATGGAGTGATGCCCTTGCAATTAAGTCTATGTACAATTTAATAAATTTTCCGCTGTTTGTTCTTCACATTGGCTTTCCTGGTTTCTCCAATCTGAAGCTTGTATGATAACTGATTTTTCTTTGATCCCTATGCTCATTAACGCTTACTCGAGTCGTCGTCTACATTTCTTTTGTTCGCTTTTCCAGTTTTCCCCGCTCACGCTATTTCGCATGCTGCCCTAATACACAACGTACTTTCTGGTTTGTGAGGTTTGACGGACTCATGAGATTTCGGTGGAAGGTGAAGAGATGAATGAAATATCTTCCATCGGAATGGAAACCAGCCTGATCCTTGCAATCACAGGTTTCATCCAATCTGAGGAATATGATGGGTGTTAGTAGTTTGTACCTCAATATTTGTACAAATGAAATAGGATTTTTATGTATAACGATAACGGTCACCTTAATTCAGCATGATGGACACTCAAAATGCCGAAATTTCAGAGAAAAATCAGTCATTTCACCACCATCCTTAAAAATGACTGAGGATATGTTGTCTGAGGCTGGTGAATTACGTCGCTTCAAGAGTTAGGGTTTCCCATTAACTTCCACTTTGTTAGGTGAACTAGTCATCTTCAGCCATGGGCGACAAAACAGACTGATTGACTGGAGCAGCAAGGCCAGATGAACTGTTCCCTAAAGAGCTGTGCACATCGTACAAGACGTCGGTAGATGTTGTTGATTGGTGTTCCATCAGCTTCACAGATTGCTTCTCCCACTTCAGAGCTCACGGCAATTACGAGATGAGGATGCTACTTCCTACACGTTAGCACACTTCAACCGCCAAGTTTTTTGGTACTTGCTGAAACTTCGTACAATTTCTTTACGTAAGAATCCACAGTCACTATCAAAATCGTGGTTAGCTGGAGTAGACTGGGGGGACCCAGTCTTAAGTAGCCTGGAATTACCCAGTGTTTATGAGCAGAACGTTTCGTGCAGCCTCAGGTTACCTTGCTAACCATTTACATGGAATCATGAGAAGTAATTAATTCCTACTCATACTTATCAATGGGTTGGCACCTAGCCTTGAATCCAACTTAATTTGATATTCGGTTACAATGGAAGCTATAATCGATTTGATTACATCAATCTGTTAGGATTACGAGTTTATTAGCTACTGAAATGAGATAAGAGTAGAGTAAACCAGGATATGATCATAGTCTAGGTATATACCTTCAAAGAAAGTAGTTAACACTTGGTGTATATTGCTAATAAATAAAAGTGATAAGAATGTGTCAATATGAAAATAGCTGAACAAAGTGCATTTGGGGGTAATAATGTGTCGTGAAAATTCTACTATTAGAGTTATATAATTGTATGTAAATTTTCAAAAATAAATAGTGCTACATAATACATTATCTGTGTTAGACTGCTTTTAGGTAAAAGAATTACACACAAATAACCAGGTTTCATAGAAAAACCCAAATAAGAACTGAGTAACTCTACTGAAATAAAGGGATGTCAAATAAAAAAAATTATAGAAACTGGGAAGCAAGCAACAGATGATCAGTTATAGTTTCGGACTCGTGAGCATTGTATCGCCAGTCGAAGACAATCTGTTTTCGCGGTAAATAATGACTGGTAGATTTTTCTTTCAGTGTCCTTGCATAATAGTCGTAAATAATTTCGGCGTACACTGACTTAACTATCATACTTTCTCAAGAGACTAATGGTAAACCAAATATTGAGATTGTATATCAAGAAATAATGTTTTAGTATTAATGTAAAAGCAAATGAATAATTCTGCTAACCTTCATTCGAATATTCTAAACAACTTTGGAGATCATGTTCTTTATTCAGCGAATATACCGGTTTGACAGGAAACCTGATATCCCAATACAATACTCTTCCATCCCGTCTAATAAAAATGCGTGAGAAATAGTATATTTCATTCAACAACACTGATATCCGAAGCGCAAAAATATCTTTAGCAAGAAAAAGTACGTGGATATTCTGAATTACATGATGTGAGTCGTTTGAGACGTAAACTCGATTTATAATTAATGATGTTAGTCAGTCAGTCAACAACACAGAACTTCGTACGTATATACATCAGTTCAAGTTGCCATACCACATTAGCACAGAGGCCTAATTGTCAATTAAAATCCCATAGTAGTAGAGGTAGTAGAAGTATTAGCAGTATTTGGAGAGATTAGGGTTTAAGTATATTATTCCAGAAAGAAATAAACGTAAAGAGAAAAAGATAAAGGTGATGAGCAGTTCAGAAGGTTATGATTTGAGGGAATGCAATGAATGAATGCACCTGCGCCTTTGCAAACGGCTTCAAGCGATGTCATACAGGGTCTCTAACCACTGATCACTAACATCCCGCGGGCCCCTGCCAGGTAGTCTTCACCTACTAACATGACTCAGTCTACTTAACAGTGACTTTATGGATCCCTGCATGTTTTCGTTTGTCCGCTACCAGCTTTCTTACAAACTATTCCTGCATGGCAAAACATCGTTCGACGAGGCAGTCGGTGGTTGGGCATACGCACCACATGTCCCAACCACCTCAACGGATGAGGTTTCAATACTTCATTTATTGATCTGCCATCCCTACCTAGTATTCGTTTCCTAACTATAGAATCGCTTACTCGACTGTCCCACGATACACGAGCATTGCTTCGAAGACATCTGTAATTGAATAATGGTAACCTACGAATGTCCTCTACTCTTACTGGCCATGTTTCATAGCCATACAGTAGGATGGAGAAAACTACTGCGCAGCACACTCGTCCCTTGGTTGAAAAAGGGATATCTATCTCGTGTACACCGTAAATGGCGCGATTTCGAAAAAGCCAATCGAGCCCGCTGTGCCTGTGCTGAGATATCATCAGTCACCAGGCCATCAGCACTGATGAAAATCCCAAGATAAGTGAAGCGGTCGATGCGCTCAACTGTTTCACTCCCTATTAGTAGTTCAGGTGCCGATGCAAGCCAATCATAAAGCAACATTTTGCACTTTGAGGGTGAGAACTGTTTCCCGAACATGCTTGCATTGTTGCTTAGGGTAGTCAGAAGACTGCATTTTGTCAGCATCTTCACTATGTAGAACTTTGTTATGGGCATACTCTAAGTCAAGTAGTGAATATACTGTAATCAGATTACAGTGATCCATTTTTGAACCATTGCATAAAATGAAATACTTGAATTTTTGTCAATGGACATAACAATAGCAGTAAATGTCAACAAGGAATTAAATGCATACCTTACTAACAACTACTATATCTATAATTTACTACTACCCAATTGAAGAATAGGGGTTTATACTTTTATTCTCATCAGTAAACATACGGTTATTTTTCTTGATTGGCTTAGATGTTTCGTTGAGGATGAATTCAACACTTTTTCTCCTTGTTACTGGTCAGTACTCGATTGTAGCCACCACCTTGATGTGGTGATTAGGGTTGTTTAATGTGATGATTCAGCCGAGCTATACTAGTTGTAACACTTATTTTCCTAGGTCGTACCATACAAACCAGATCAGTTGGGGAACAGTAAGAATGAAAGCAGTGACTTGAGGTTTGGGGGTGTAGTACTAATGAATTTACAAGGGTGCGACGGTAGTGAGGCGTTTCCCATAGACAACCAACATCTTTAGCGATGGTATCTGTTCAACGGAAGGAGGTTAGGAAAAGTCGATTATAAATGTTACACTTGATCTTACCCCGTGACTTACGTCTTCGGTGGTAGGGAATTAAAAGTACGGGGCTAACACACCAAAAACATACAATGGAAAGGTCGTGTGTGATCAGCTAGAAGCAGTTGTGCTTGGGATTTGCAGTCAGGTTCCTAAGTTGTAAAGAAAATTACTATTTTTTCACTTTCGGTACATCAAGAAGTATCCTTCTATGGTGTTAGCAATTAGGAAGTGACAAATACATATATACCTTTAATGACACCCAAGATTTTGTCATGATCGAATTCCCTCGTCATTGCTCAATATTTCTATACTCACTAACGAACCTCCTCCTATAACTTTACATTTATCACACGCGTCAACAGTCCTAGTTCACCGGATTCCAGCCCTAAACCACATGTTACGGATTTCAATGTTCGAAACTTAGACCAAATCGGATAAAGTTTATTAGTTAAGGCTCTAAAATCTCGAAGTATCGACACATCTCAAAAACAAGTACATAGCATCCAAGTGTGATTATTTATCATGACTTCATCCAGTCGATGTCAGAAAAACGTCATGATTTAGCCCCCATGTATCTGAAGTCTCGAATGTTTTTTACGCTATTTTGGACTATAATCAGACAGTTGCTTGTGGGAGTGATAAATGAAAAAGAACCGGACAGACCTTGTTGCTTTTCTGTCATCTTTACCTAAACTCCCTTTGACTGAAGTTCAGAAGCGAAAAAAGACGAGCTTCCTCCTTCTTTAACAGCCAAAATGTTCCAGCTCACCGAACAAGCATCAACAACTGAATGCTGTAAATTTGCACGGACAACCGATTATTTTTAGAAAGCACCGACTTTAAGCATGGAGAAAGGTATCGTCTGAAATTCTAAAATTAACCCGACGATGGATGGAAATAGACCATATAGCCATCAGAGGCCCAGTAGTAAACTCCGTCGGGAATATATATATATATATATATAAATATATATATAAATATATATATATATATATATATATATATAGACTCTGATCACGTTTTAGTGTGAGTACACATTGATACGTGAATACATTCTTGATTACTTTTTAAATGGTGCAGTATCAATTTTATTGTTATGCATGCCACTTAACTATAATCACGATTGTACAGCTCTAGTAAGCGAGTGCTGAGAATTTTTCGACACTAAATTATTTTAATTTTTCTTAAAGTTTCTTTCATCGAATCACTAGTTATTTCTTTACGAATAGATAAGTCGTTTTTCTTATCTAGATGTTTATACATGGCACTTAGCGAAATTCCCATTATCTTCATCGAAGTTAAACAACTACAGCAGATGAGACTAATCTAGGGCGGGACAAGTATGAGTTCACTGGAGCCGATTGATACTGTCCAATTCGAAATGCGAAAAACACCTCAGATTTAAAGCGAATAATCTAAAAGAACTATGGACTTTTATGCACTCACCCTCCCGTAACAACCACGTAAGCAGCTCTGGGGGACCAAGTAACTTGTGTAAGGCCTGATTGAGAATGACTTCCAAGTAGCGTGGTAGCTGTACAACCAATGAGAGGATCAACTAAGACGGCGCGGCCACTTGATTCACCACTACATGGTCCTAGACTAACTGCAATCAGATTGTGACTACAAGCCACAGGTGACATAGATAACCAGGACAAACTTTGAGCGAAACTTACCGATGTGACGCACTGAGATAAACGAAATAAAAATCATCAACAGAAAGATATTGATGTTAATACAATATACATTATTTTACACCAATGACCAGACTTCAATATGTGTTGGAGGACTAGTTTCTCAAATACACGACAATAATTTTTTCTAGAGGCGAATACAACTCATCTGCTCAATGTGGTACAGTGGGTGCTTTTATCATATACTAAGCGAAAGAAAAAACATTTCTATGGTGTAGAGAAATGGGATATTGATTAATATGAAGTAGTCTGGTTATTAGATTTATGGCATGAACTGCACCATAACTACTTCCGTACAGGAAAGATCTTACGTCAACATGACAAATCTTGTCATAACTTAGTGAACAAATAAGAACACAGCTTTGCAAAGCGTTTTGGTAGCCAAATAAACCCGGGTGCAATGATCATAATTAAGTCTTCGCCAAATCTCATGAGTCCATCAAACCTATTACCGACCAACGATCTTTGTAATTACTGATATCAATGCCGTCTTCCATTCAGTCAGTCAGTTGCAACGTAGAACTTCGTACCTATGTACATAAGTTCATGTTGCCATACCACATTAACACATAGACGCAAATTTCAAACCAAATCCCATAGTGAGAAAGATAGAGGTAATAATGGTAATGAAGAAGAACAGGGTTCGATGATATTATTCAAGAAGTATAATTCAGTGAGATAAGGTTAGAAAGACACGGGTAGAGTATCCAGAAGATTAGGATTTGAGGGAGCTCAACGAATGGATGCACTTGTGCCATTGCAAACGATTTTGAGCCATGTCGTTCAAGGTCTCTAACCATTGGTGACTTTCGTCTCGCGGACCCCAACCAGGTAGTCTACATCTACCAACATGAATCAGTCCACCTGTCAGTGACTTCATGCATTTCTGCCATGTTTTGGTTCGGCCGCCCCTAGATTTCTTCCAACCTACTCCTACACTACAAAACATAGCTCGTCGAGTGAGTCAGTGGTTAGGCATACGTAACACATGTCCCAACCACCTCAACTGATGAAGTTTCACCACTTCATCTATTGATCTGCCATTCTTACCTAGAACCCGTTTCCAAACGACAGCGTTGCTTACTCGGTTGTCCCACGGTATACGAGCAATGCTTCTTAAACATCTATGATCGAATACCAGTAACCTACGAACATCTTCTACTCTTAACGGCCATGTTTCACAGCCATAAAGTAAGACGGAGCGAACTACTGCACAGTGCACTCGTCCTTTAGTCAGCAAACGGATATCTCGCCTACGCCATAAGTGACGCAGGTTGGCAAAAGCCAATCGAGCCTTCTGTATCCGTGCTGAGATTTCGTCAGTCACCAGGCCATCGGCACTGATGAGACTTCCGAGATAAGTGAAGCGGTCAACACGCTCCACTACTTCACTCCCGATCACTAGTTCAGGTGCCGATGCAACCCAGTCTTGAAGCAACATTTTGCATTTCGAGGGGGAAAACAGCATCCCGAACATGCTTGCATTGTTGCTTACGGTAGTCAGAAGACTCTGCATTTTGTCAGCGTCTTCACCGAATAGAACTATGTCATCGGCATACTCTAGATCAGTAAGCCATTTTCCTGGCAGAAGGTCCACCCCTGAAAAATCTGACGAGCTTAATGTTAACTCTAAGAGGATGTCTACGACGAAGTTAAACAAGAATGGGGACAGTGGACATCCCTGACGGACACCACTTGGTGTAGAGAATTCAGATGACAGTTCGCTATAAGCTCTCACTCGACCAGTAGTGTTCGAGTAGACTGCTTGTATAGGATTAATGAACTTCTTTGGTACACCTTTCAATGACAGACACTGCCACAGAACCTCACGATTCACTGAGTCAAATGCCGCTTTTAGGTCCAGGAACACGACTATTGTCGGACGTCTAAAGGCGTCTTCCATTCGTTGAACAAGACTGCACTCTGGGTCAGTTAGTTTCAGAAGGGTGTGTCTGAGAAGTTTATCAGCATGTTGAGGGTTCTGCATACAAACGTCTCAAGAGACTGGTGGCATACAATCATCTCTATCCTTTGTTCCATTCAAACAGTGAGTTAAGCAGGGTCGCTTAATCTCACCATTCCGCTTTAACTTTGCCCTCGATGGCGTTCTAGAAAGAGCTCTGACGGAGGTAGGAAATTGTGGAATGGATCTGTTACCAAGAGAAAAACTTTCTACCCCAAGAATGAGGATGACGTTGTCCTACGGTGTGATGATAGTCAAACCATACAATCTGCACCTAACCAGTTTCTGTAGGTCTGATATGTGTTTTGTATCTTCCAAGTGCAAAGTAATTTAACAAGAATGACAAAAGCCCGCACTCACCTGACGCTCGTTGGTGAGCAGTTAAAAGTAGTTGGGAAGCTCGTGTATTTGGACAGTTGTGCAAGTGCTGGCGGTGACGTGAGTGGTGAGATCAGATAACGTGTATCGTGTATCATTTTTGCGTTTTTGTGACGTTAATCTGGCTGTATAAGGTCGGAGAGAGTACTTTCGCGCTATGTTAATGACACCTAGTAGCCCCTCCGGGGCTACTGCCGGCCGCACACCCGGATAAAGGAGGCTTGGGGTTGGCAAAACCATCCCGTAATAAACTAAACCACTAAAAAGCGCTAACAAGAAAAAATAATTCAAGCCATTTTAACCCTACCCTTGGAGTTAAAAGGTCTTCATTTAGATGAGTTAGGACATCTTATGATGAAAGCCGAGGCTGATGACCCTTCTGACAACAAAAGCCCTTCCACGTTGTGGGCAGCCGGGAAGTGACATCCACTATATCCATAAAAGCACAGGAGACCCAAATCGTCACAATCAATTCTTTTCTAAACCTCCTAATAACTCAATTATCTGTATGATCAACCCTTCTTTCGTTCCTTCGTCACCTCGAGCCGCTGATGCAGACGTTTCGAGTTCACGAAACGTTTTTCCTGGACTCTTGAAACCCTGCCCTAAACTACATATTAGAGCTTTTGATGTCAAAACCTTGCCTCAAATAGGACAACAGGCTTCATTAGCTCGGACTTTGGAATCTCGCACGATCTATGTATGCTGTGTCTCTAAAACGGGCATACAGGATCCGAGTAAAGTGATTAAATTGAATTCACTTTGTCCAGATAAAGAACCAACTCGGTTTACGCTCCGTGTATCTGGAAGCTGATGCTTCCTGTGGTCTCACTGGTGTAGGTCTTAGGGCAGAACTAGCTCTCTCAGACTGGATCTCAGTAGAGAGACGCATGTGCGCAGTCCGACTAAACGGGACAGTAAGGACTCGGAAAGAAAGGGATACTCATCATTGCCTCCTAGTCATGTCTGCCTATGCTCCCACCGACTGTAGCTCGGATGATCAATCAATCACTCAATCAATCAACAGCAACGTCAAACTTCGTACGTACGTCAGTTCATGTTGCAGTCATTGCTATCAGCCATCGATGGAGAGGTTCGATTGAAGACTGTCGCTCGTTATCGAGCACATTTTTAGATTCAGACCATGCTCTAGTGCAAGCGTGTATTTGTATGCGACCTGCTGGACGTAGGAAAGACACCGCAAGGAGACCTCTTAGGGTTCTACTTAATGACAACACGTCTAATATATTTCAGGAGCAACTAGATTAACAGTAAGGCGGCTATGTAAGTGATTCCCAATCTGAAGCAGCAAAGAACGATATCCGAAAAGTTGTGGAAATAGCAGTAATATCTACCAGTTAGCTAAACCGTAAGGTTAGGGAGAAACGGCGGATCTCAGTGTTGTCTGCCGAACTCATAGAGGCTCAGAAGCTCATCACGTTCGGCTCTGATTATGGTGAGGAGCAGAGTCAGCTTAGGCGCGGTTTCATATAAAAGCCTACGCAATGATCGCGAACAGTGGTGGGTAGCGGAAGCGAGAGAGATGGAAAAAGCAGCAGGAATAGGCAATAGTAGATAACTATTCATACTCATCAAGGAAACCGGTAGTAGGAATCCGACTGTGAGACTAACGCAGAAAAGGATGATCTTATTATGAGGGGTCAGTTTCGGCAGTTAGATTGATTGAGATATTTAGTAGAATTCGGGAACTGGACATAATCCCATCTGACTGATCTCAATCGATGATTGTCCCAATTTATAAAAAAGGACAAAAGTCCTCTTATGACAATCAGAGAGGAATCGGTTAAATTAATGTAATTTCTAAATTGTTAGCTTCGATCATACTCAGGCGCCTAACTAAAACTCGTGAGGAGCAGACTCGAGAAAACTAGGCTGCTTTCAGACCCAGACGTGGACATATAGATCGCACTACGGCAGGTCCTAGAAAACATAAACATTTAGGCGTCCGATAATAGTTTTCTTCCTTGACCTGTCATTGAAAAATGTACCAGAGAAGTACGTTAACCTAATACAGGCTCTCTAATCGAACACCACAGCGTCCGACAATAGTTGTCTTTCTGAACCTTAAGGCGGCATCTGACTCTGTCGATCGTGAGGTTCTGTTAGTGTCTGTCATTAGGTGTGCCATAGGAGTAGATTAACCTTATACAAGCTCTCTACTCGAACACTACTGATCGGGTGAGAGCCTATGGCGAACTGTCACCGGAGTTCTCTACTTTAAGTGGTTAGAGTTAACATTATCCTCATCAGATTCTTCAGAGGCGGACCTTCTTCTACCAGGAAGATCGCCTACTGACCTAGAATATGCCGACGACTTAGTTCTATTCGTTGAAGGCGCTAACAAAATGCAGAGTCTTCTGACTACACTGAGCATGTTTGGCAAGCGGTTCTCAACCTCGAAATGCAAAATGTTGCTTCAAGATTGGCTCACGTCGGCACCTGAATTACTGATAGGGAGTGAAGTAGTCGTAGTAGGATTTTCATCGGTGTCGATGGCCTGGTGTCTGCAAAATCTCAGCACGGCTCGATTGGCTTTTGCCAATTTACGCCGTTTATGGCGTAGGCGAGATATCCGTTTTCTAACCAAAGGACGAGTGTACTGTGCAGTAGTTTGCTCCATCCTACTGTATGGCTATGAAACATGGCCAGTAAGAGTAGAGGACATTCGTAGGTTACCATTATTCAATTACAGATGTCTTCGAAGCAATGCTCGTGTATCGTGGGACAGTCGAGTAAGCGATTCTATAGTTAGGAAACGAATACTAGGTAGGGATGGCAGATCAATAAATGAAGTATTGAAACCTCATCCGTTGAGGTGGTTGGGACATGTGGTGCGTATGCCCAACCACCGACTACCTCGACGAGCCATGCTTCGTGGTGTAGGAGTAGGATGGAAGAAATCTAGGGGCGGCTATACCAAAATACGACACAAATCCATAATGTCACTAACAAGTGGACTGAGTTATGTTGGTAGGTGAAGACTACCTGGTTGGGGTCCTCGAGATGATAGTAATCGGTGATTGAGACTATGAATGATATGGCTCAAAACGGTTTGCAATGGCGCAGGTGCATCTATTCTTTGTGTTCTCCCAATTCTTAATCTATTGAATTTCTCACGACCGTTTTTCTTCTATTCTGACTGATTCCTCTGGAGTATACATCTCGAATGATGGATTCGATCATGAATCTTTTTGATTACTGCTAATACACTTACTACCTCCATTACTATGGTATTTGCATAGACCACTGAGTCTCTGTGCTAATGTGGTATGACAACTTGAACTGATGTACGTACGTACGTAAGAAGTTCTACGTTGTAGCTGACTGACTTATAGTGACGCAACCTCATTTTCCTAGTGTAGCGCATATACCTACATGTATATGGATTGATCTTTAGTACCAACGTTATTTTTTAACAAATAAATATCAGTTCTATGCTTGTGTAACTACTTTGTTGCCAAGACTGATGCACATGCAACACAGTAATCAAAAAAGCAGGGCTTTAACGTTTGATTCAGTTACACATTATGTAGAATCTACGTAAAGCGTCAATAAAAAAAGCAATGCCTTGTGAAGTACACTGCTGAAAATATGCAGACAAGGTACGCTAGAGAGTACTAATCAAATTAATTACGATCGAAGAATGTTATAAGTAGTGGTAGCGATAAACCAGGGGCGTGTTAAATTCTAAGTGATACTTCTTTATAGTGATTAGTTTGGAAAATTTCCAGATACAGACACTAGGATTTTAATTTATTCAGTTAGATAGTTATATCAAAATTATCACATTTTTCACTCATACTGACAACAATCCCTGTTGCATATAGATAGGACAACTAAAAGTTGGTCTGCTATGATTAGAGCCCGGATCTGAAGAACAACCGGAAGATTGGTCACCATAGTTCATCATTGACTCATGAGAAATGTTAGCTTGAAAGCAGATAATAAATAATCAGGATTTCCACGAATGATTTAAAAAGAAAACTTAGAATTAAACTACTAGAAATTATTTGGAAGTCTATGCGTGAAGTCAAGGCATAATCCGAATTATGATGACCAGGACCCTCAGAGGTTATACTTGTAAGTAGTTTATACTCCGATAGCAGTTGTAAGCACAACAATGCTAGCAGGGAATTCTGACATGCCGAGATCTTACGCTGATAAAAGTTGGTGCATCGTGTAAACATACGATAAACTCGTGCGATATCACTTAATCTCAGAATAATGGATATACTGTAAAAAGTTAGACATACCTCAAGGCGGTTGGTGTCCCATATGCCGAGAATTTTGTTAGCTGATGCCGATATGAAGGAACCACTGTCAACTGGATACCATTGCATACAAACTAGTGGAGACCCTTTTGACATAAACCCTGAACCACCACTTCTTCTGTTGCAAATGGACGCAATAGAAGTATGTTTAATTGAATCAAGACTCCAGACCCTTGGGTCTTCAACATCAAATATATGTATATGTCCGTCCTGTGACCCAACAAGTAGTCTATAGTGCCATGTAGGATGAAAATGTAGTGCTTACAGGCGAGACTCAACACAGTCGATAGTCATATCACATAACTGTGTGTTTGACTCAATGGAGAACACAATCCCATGATCCACATCGATATTTTCAATTCTGTTTCGTAGGTAAGTATTTTGGCGACTGAGATCCAAAAAACTTGAACAGAACTTGTTCATTTTTCTTCAGCATTCGTTCAGAAAGTGAGGCAAGTATTTTCAGCAAAGCGCCATCCACTAGCCAGAAAGTACCTTGTGTATTAGGGCAGCATGCGAAATAGCGTGAGCGGGGAAAACTGGAAAAGCGAACAAAAGAAATGAGACGACGACCGAGTAAGCGTTTAATGAGCATAGGGATCAAGAAAAATCAGTTATCATACAAGCTTCAGATTTGGAGAACCAGGAAAGCCAATGTGAAGAAAAACAGCGGGAAAATTTTAAATTGTACATAGACTTAATTGCAAGGGCATCACTCAAGGTTCCAATATACGATTTCGTCTTCACAAGCTAGTATAAGCCAACTGATTTCATTGCGCTAGAGTCTTGTTCCTTCCATACGGTTTTAAGTGTTTGGTAGTTTCCAATGGATAGGGGCCTAGCCACTCGACTTTCTAACTCTAGTCAGTTGGCAGTTGGTTGTGAGTTTGCATATCTCGTGATTTGAATGAAAAGAGTTGTTTCAGAGCTGTAGGGATTCTGGATACCACCAGCTATCATATTAACAGACCGGAGACCAGCCAGTTGCGATATGGAGAATAATAGACAGAAAATTTTAATGCTAATAGGAAGAGAATTTCAGAACTAAGCAATATATAGATAATTTAGTTTATTAATTAGTAGTGAAGATTTTGAGAGAGGACTGAAGTGTGAGAAAGGGTAAGGAAACAGAAATAACAGGCGAGATAGAATAATTTGGTGATCTGAGGAGATGGCAATGATAACAACTACAGGTCTCAAGATATGCATCATGAACAGCTTTTCCACGAGGGAGATGATGATCCGTATGCGATAACATCATTATCACGTCTCCTCTTAAAGCTGTCCACTGAGGGGGCTGTGGTCACCTCGGCTGGGAGAGCATTTCAAGTTGCGACGACTCTCAATGAGAAAAAGTGTGCACCAACCTGAGTATCTGCTTTTTGATGTGCATTCTTTCGAGGATTGTCTGGAGGGGAGTGGTGGTGATGCATCGGTAAGATGCTCACGTTTGGGGTGGTTTGGCGTGCCTAATATGTTTTACACCATGATCGAATCACCTTTAATCCTCCTGTAACTCAGTGTAAATAATCCTAAGTGCTGGAATCAATCTTCACAAGGCTTGTTTTTCAACCATATCACCCATTTCGTTGCTCGTCTCTGCACTCGATCCAAGGGATTTATGCCTCGTTTGAGCAGAGGGGGTGTGATGACGTTGTGAACCTCCAGGTGTAGGAGCGCATACGTCTTAAATAGTTTTAAGAATAATTCTAGAGTGTGGTGTTTCCGACCAGCATTCGTGTCAGTAGTTCGATAGCCTCAATCTACCTATGTTTGTGTGGCAAATTTTTTCGTTTGCTCATGGCTTCTCACGATATAGCTGGGCGTAACCAATCAATGACATGTATGCTACTTGTCTTTGATAACCTTGAATTGGTTTTACTTTCGACCAGGAAATCCTATTGCAAGCAGATCTATAGATCTATACACAGAAACTAGGTGTTCGACACGTAAACGATGAACCGAGGTCACGCTTGCCATTCTATAAGAGTAGCCAAGATATGGAAGTCTATACTGACCGTAGACGTTCAAGTAACTCCTCAGGAGTACTTCTAAAAGGACATGGATATAATTCTAAGGACAAAGGAAAGTTCTGCATTCTAGTTTACTAGAGTTTATCTTCTACTTGGCTAATATATTCAAGTTGCTGTCTGGAGAGATCAATAATTTGAGGCTAATAAAATTAGGTTTCTATTAAATGAGTGCTGTTTCTCTTCCACCTTTCATCTTTCAAACCACTTGAATAACTGAGTATCGTCGAAACGTTATCCGACATTCATAGATTGACCAAATCTCGACCTTCACTGGTAAACAAACTGGGGGAAGTAACACGGATTGGCCGATCTACTGTCCTGAATAATGAGGTTAAATATATTGGATACTGAATCTTGTTTATGGGAGACTTATAAATACATTCGTAAGCAACTGTATACAATCACTGTAGGATATATTGAGAGGCATCTTTCAGAATTCATGATGCACTTCAGGCCAATCTCAAATTTGGAAAGAGAAAACCATGGGTCAACGCACGTGCAGAACGCTGGACACAGGTGCGAAATGAGCCTGTTCGTGGCTCTTGCTCAGCAATGAGTGACAGATGCAGTGACAAAGTTTGAAGTGATAGTGGATATTTGCAGATGAAGCTTGAGTCCGAAACAAACACTAAGCAAGACTCTTAGGGAACCTAAGAGCCATGGTGTTTGTATCCTCAAAGGTCGAAATGGAGAAGACGTTTCCAACACACAGGTGCTTGAGATCTTTAATACCAATTTTACTCACCAGTTAAATCAATTACCCATTGATTCAGAGTACTACTCATATCCAGAACCAGTTATGACTTGGGTGATGTCCGACAAATCCCGCGTTAGTACCTACAAAATAGGACGTTTTGTACTAATGTAAATAGAATGCTTGCAAGCTAGCGAGGTTCAACATCAGGAGTTTCACAGACAAGCAATTATCACACTCAATTTTCCATAATGACCAATAATTTGAGTGAAAGAGAAATGTCTCCAATTTCTTAACCACCCAAAAGATCAAAATCAGTCAACCCTATGTCTCATGAATCTAATATTGAAAGAGTCACACCTCCGTCTTGTAAACCCTGCATCTCTTATCAACAGATTTCATCATCTTTAGTCAGTAATCTGTTTGGTAACTCTTCACTAAATATTACAACGATGAAACTCGTAGATATTATACCAACGTATATTGAGATGTCAACACAGAATAAACAATAATCTTGTGAAGCCAAAATCTAAAAGCTCACGAACCAAGGCATCCAAATATTTATCCAACACAGATCGTAGTAGTGATCACGGCGACAGCGAGATACGACAGTTATATAACTCATTATTATTATTATTATTATTATTATTATTATATAACTCACTTGCCCAAAAAAGCCATAAGCTTGACCCCTCACGAATATATGGGCCTCAAATAACCAAAGCTGAATTCATTCAAGAGTTTGTAGCTAAGGAAGTTACGGAAAGACTAATTTCTTCTTGCAACGTTATTGCATATAACCTCCCTGACCGCACATCCTTAACTAAGCTAAGGGATATCTGTATTCCATTATGTGGTATGGCAAACGTCAGTTCTCAAGTCAGACGCCTCGGAAAAAAAATCGGATAAAAAAACTTGCCCCCATTTGTTCGAATTTGGCTGCTGAAACGACGCCAAACAATTTATTCATCTGAGCAAAAATATAAACTCATCAACCCTGTACAGACATTAGGTTACTCAAGATCTAACGCCTTGTCAACGTCGTATAAAAAGACGAGAGTCGAAAAGATCGCGCAACTGTGTCACAAAAAACAATCTACTGGAGGCAACTCCCAATGTCACAAGTGTAAATAAACACATAAACCACCCAGTAGATATTGATGAGTCTATGGACTCTAAATTTTTAAATAAAGTACGAATCCCGACTGTCATTGAAAAGTCTAACAACACCTGTATTTCTGAAAAAGGCTGCTCGAACGTTAAATTGCCTGAATATATCCAAAAAAGCAACACAATTCCAGCTACGATTAAAAAATTAAAGATTAGATCCCCATAATATATTACACGAGAGTACCCGAAAAAAACTGAATTTTTCTTGAAAAGCTCGTCTAAGGGATCAAAACACTCTCCATCTTTAACTAAGAAAAGTGAACAGACCAAATCTTGGGTCTCAAATTAAAGAATAGGCAGAATTTAAACTGCCTGCGACTTCCCCAGCTACGATGAACAGGTTCACCCCTTTAATTTCATATGAAATGCCTCTAGCCTCTCTAAGTATTAAGACTGACAATGATAAAAACATGTCAAATCAACATCTGATCATCCACAAAATGATAATTATCCAAGTGGACGACCTCTTCAGCTCCGTTTACGTGAACATCAATTAGCAGTCAAACGCCACGACAACGCTTCGCTTATATCAATACACACCGACAATTATGGACACACATTTGATTGGAACAACGTGGAAATACTGAGTAGGAGGAGGACAAAGAACACTAGTAAATTTTTAGAAGCTTGGCACTCAGGTCAATTAGCAATCAACAAACACATCGACACTGACCCAATTTATCAACCAATCAGGAAAATCATAGGTGACACTAGATCAAGAAACAGATCAAAAGAGGGAGGCAATCAAAACATAGTTGCAAACCACGACAAGCCAAAGGTCAACAACAACCAGTCAAGATCGAGGTTAGCAGAACAAGCTACAGGTCAAACGTGGAGAAATTCTAATGCTTCACTTCTATCTAAAGTTCGTGCTGATGTTGTTCAGAAGAACATTGAAAGCTCCACAACAAAAACAACCAGCTCAGAGAACGAAACACCACCACAATCATCCACCTGAGCTACAAGTTTTCTCCACCATCTCAAAGTTTGTTCCATCCCTACCTTTTACAAGCACGGCTATTTGTGGGGACTTCAACATGCCTGAAATCTCTTGGTTTCTAATCAAAGCACCTAAACAATTCGAATCATTTATAAAATGCTTAGAGCTTGGAGAATGGACTCAACATGTTGACGGCCCAACCAGAAATCAAAATACATTGGATTTAGTTTTCACCAGCATTCTCATTCCTAATACTGTAAATGTTGGAAAAAAGTTCCCATAGTTTGGTCATATGCAGCCTTGATATAGGAGCTCAGAGAACGAAACACCACCACAATCATCCACCTGAGCTACAAGTTTTCTCCACCATCTCAAAGTTTGTTCCATCCCTACCTTTTACAAGCACGGCTATTTGTGGGGACTTCAACATGCCTGAAATCTCTTGGTTTCTAATCAAAGCACCTAAACAATTCGAATCATTTATAAAATGCTTAGAGCTTGGAGAATGGACTCAACATGTTGACGGCCCAACCAGAAATCAAAATACATTGGATTTAGTTTTCACCAGCATTCTCATTCCTAATAC